CGTGGTAAATTTAGGGGTACGATTGAGCCTGGCCTCATGCAGGTCCGTAAAAAAATTACCGCTTACCTCCTTTTGCGGCTGCCAACCACGTTGATAAAAAAATAAACTCCTTAACACAACTGAGAGTACGTAACATCTTCCTGAAATAGGAAAGAAAAATAACTTAGTCTGTCACGTTTTGTAATAATCTTCCTGCTGTGTAAGACTTATCGAACTATGTAGTTAAAAAAAAAGGTGTCGCTATAAGTAATAAACTTAGTTTACATGGTCACAGTGCCCTATGAACGAGAGTTCACTGCACACAAAAACAAGCAAGATATCATGGCAACACGAGCAACGAAAAACGTAAGAGTACATGTAATAACACCTTAAAATTACGTGGAACCTTACATTACGGATCGGATGCATCATCGTTTTTGTTATTGTTATTATTATTATTAATATCATAATTATCATTTTCACTCTCGTCATTATCAACATTGCCATCACTATTTCTATCATCATTCCCATTGGCAGTATCAGTTTCATTACTAATACAACTATCATTATTATCCCTATTATAAGTTAAATTATAATTATTGTTATTATTAAAATAATTTGTATAGCGCTAAGACTATAAAATATTCAAAAGCGCTTTACATTAAGTTACAATAAACAGCTATGATTAAAATTTCTAAAAAGCTCGCAATAATAATAATTATGGTAAAAAATGTCTATGCTGAGCTAAAATCTAAAAAAGAAAAAAAAAGTCTCAAATTCATCGTAATTGTAATGACTAAAATAATTATTGTTATCGTCAGGAATGAGAGCTAGTATTGGGCCTTCTGAGCCTTTCACCATCTGTAATATATTTATTACCAAGTGAAACAGCTTATCTGATTACAGCGTGCGCCTGATAGTCTTTAATTGAAAAAGTGCTATTGGGGAAACATGATAACCATTGTTTCGTCTTCACATCAAACAAAATGTTTGTGCTTTAAACTTGGCTATAAATTACCCGCGAGGTATTTACATACCTCATGCAATAGTTCTCATAAAAGGACTATATTCAATGACGAAAGAACACTGAAAAACTAGTTTTATCAAAGAAAGACTTTGTCTATAAGTACAGATGAGGTGTCCTCCGCATTGTTGCCATGGCAGTGCAGTACGGATTTGAATATTAAGTTCCGTCTTTTTTCCTAACGCCAGCGTTCTCTCGCATCAGCCAGAAAAGAACCAAAATTCAGACAAGATTTTTCTCAGCCACCTTACTATTTGACAAAAACATTACGCTCTCAACTTGATTGATGTCCATATTTCCATACAATCTTACAAGAAACGTGTTTCAGGTGATTTTCCACTTGGCAAGTTTTAAGTCTAATACCTGTTCAAGAACTCAAAGAACCTGTCATAAAGAGAGTAGTACTATGAAAAGATATATTTATTTTTATTATGAAACAGATAGGAAAACGATTATTAATCGGAGTTCGAAACAATAAATGAAAAAAGCCCCCATAAGCTTAAAAAAGTCTCGGCCAAAACATTTGAATCCGATAGCGCTCAACTTTTGCTTCCGGCTTTAGCCTTTATTAGTAATGCACCAACAATAAGCGTTTCCCCCTTCATTGTCATCATTTCAGCTTTTACAATTCTTACCAAATATTACACATTTTATTGATATAGAACAGTTTTACATGCATGTTAACTTTCAAACTGATAGGCCTAAAGCATTTGTTTCCTGACTTCTGTTCTTTGTGGCGACCGAATAATCACCAACTTTGTAAATAAGTAATGCAATCACCAGAAAGACAATGAATTGATCTTTCCCTCATAAACACGTTAGCTATTGGAAGCTAAAGACGATAATTTCCAAGTAGAAAGCAGTGGTGTTATCCCAAAGACCTGGACTGTGAAACAGAGGGGATTAGATATTCCCATCTCGGGAATAATCCAAACTGCATATGGCTATGAGAAACACTTCATTAGTGCAAAGTCGGAAAAATCGTCTTAGGTAAAGGTTGGAAATGCCTATCAAGGAATCGATTCAATTGCTATATAAGAAAAATAATTTCTTACCTTTTCAACAAAAGATCTTTTTCCTGTCCGCTGCTTATGAGACAATTTAGATGATAGTCAGTCGTTTCTTTTTTCGTATTTTACGAAATAGTAATTGTTAACGTGAGAAGCGTAATATTTTGTGACCTAAAGGTCACGCGGCCGACCGCACCCTGCTTAACGGTCGATCTGACCGACACCAAGAATTTGAGAACCGTAAAAGCAATTTTGTAGAATTTATAGCAGTGATAAGTTTTCATGTTCAGCATCTAAACCTTTAAGGAAAACCTAGCGGCACACAGTCCCTTACCTGAACCATATTCATTTTCACAGCCATAACTATTGTTTCAGCGAGTGATACTTAATACATTAAAAGAATGCTTTCAAAGCGTTACAGCAGGTGTTTAGGGAGCTATACATCTACATGTTATTGCATGACGCCTGTAATAATGTTTATTTTAAAACAAGCTTTAGAAAGGTCCGTGAAATTATCGTTTTTCCCTTTGCTCTCGACATCCCATAGTTGAGCCTCCATTCACCACAAGGATCATTGACAAGAAGTAAGAAACAACATAGTCCCCTCAACAATTATCAGCTTCATTCAAAGGAATCATTCGCGAACCAAACGAACCACACAGGACAACCTAACTTTACCTACGGATTAGAATTGACCAATCACAATTGACGTAGGTTATTCGATTCTTTAGGTCATTAACATCACGGTAATATTGACCAATTCAACGAAGAGACTTGAATGGCTTAACAATTGAAAGGAAAAAGACTAACGCTGTTGACTGCAAAGATAACGTCCGCCATCCAGTATTGATAACAGCCCTTTCAGAATAACCCTCACTGTTATGATAAAACTACAAGATTGGGAGGAAGAAAATTAATAAATATTGGGTCGTAACCCATATCAGATTTTTCTGTTGGGCACAAATGCATCTCTGAAAGTGATTCGACAATCTCAGAGAGGGTTCAACCGTTTGACGCACACCCATGTGATTATGAACGAGTAGGGATATTAGGGAATGGACTGCTGTGGAAGGATAAAAATACTGAGACAAGGTCACACTGTGAAAATAGGAGTGTTCGCGCAGTCGCCTACGAGAGATGGCCGCTTAAATGGAGGTCCACACGAAGGGCTTTTATGAGAAAATGATACTGAATTAGATAAGTGGTCACTTAAAAATTTTCTCGCGAAAAAGAGTCGCATACTATGTTTCAAAATGTATCTCATATCCTGAACGATGAAGTAGGTTTTCTACTTTGCGCAATACCAAGAGAAAAAGACACGACACAAGCTACAGCCCGGTTTTTTTTTTTTTTTTTTTTACTTTTCATGCTTTTTCTCTCTTTGTTTTCATGGGCCTAGATTAAGTTCGCCAATAACCTCTCGCTTTTCCAATCACGCCCATTTAGAAACCTTCAATGGTTCTCTTTCATTTATTGTAGCGTTTGTAATCAAAGTACGATCGAGTACAAGTATTTCCGCGAGTCTCTTAGCATGATATGCGTGGCTCAGTTTATAGGGGCAACTTATTCTGGTAACAACTTATTAGGTTATCGACTGTCCACGATCGATATGCTGTATCTTTCTCACCATGTCGATGACACTATGTTTAAATACCAACTATAGTGAGGTTATTTGATGACACAAAGAGAAAAATCGTGAGAAGAATAATTTTAAGTTTTGTCACCGTCTGCTATTAAATGCAAAATCAACCTGAGTTAAGAGCCGCATTTAAAATGGCTCAATTAAAGTAAAATGGAAATTGAAGAAGATGAAAAGCTTAAATGAAATATTGTATGTGTATTTAAGATGATCGGGTTTCCTGACATTCAAGAATTCATTTGACTAATTTTAGAAACTCCGGCTCCATATTTCTTTTTTCCAGACAAGTAATTTACCCCAGATCATTTTTCATGTAAATCCTTTCCTCAAACGAGCCAAGATGTCTAGTAGAAGCTAAATTTTGACATGAACTGCATCCGGCGTATTGCACAAAGAGTAAGATGCCATAGACATTTAATAGCATTTTATTTGCTGTTCCATTATCGAACAGGAAAGAAATGGATTGTCCTCAATTGGAAGCTAAAAAACTTCCATCGTCATGTCGGAGCGGTTTTACAAAAGTATAAAACGCTCGGAAAACATTTTCAATCTGAATAAATATATGTACACCTTCACATTTACGTGTTTACTTAGATATATTTAGTTTATTGTTTTTGTACTTTCTTTTTACTATTTAAGCAAACAATATTACAGTTATTTAGAAAATGTGACGTTCTTGGCTACTAATTTGACTTATGGCATTGTACTTCCCTATCAATTTTTCATAAGAACTACTCTTTTGTTCAATTAAAAGCTAAAACTACCTTATTAGGTTAGGTGATAGAACAAAACAGCTTTTCTAAGGAGGGAAAACAGGGCAGGATGCCGGTTATTGTCTCTATTCTAGATATTTAATTCAGTTCCCATTTACTCCAAAACACTGGATGTCAAAATTAGTCCACATCTTGGCTTACTATTATCAATCTTCTTCCGAAAGGGAGCTAACGCTCCAAGTTTCCAACACCTCTTTTTTCGGTAAACATCTGACAGAGTAGTTTCATTTCACTACGCAGACGCTTCTTTTATGATGTATTTGTATATTTATCTCGCTGGGGATCTAGAGTGGCGTAGATGTTCAGAATAGGATGAAGTAATTATAATTTTCCGAGATACATACTGCCAAGTCAAATCAAATTGATATTCAAAAATACTTTTTGCATGTGAAAGGGTCAGGTTAGTACTGCTTTGGATGTTTGTTTGTTTGGGATTCTTTTTGTAAAAAAAAACATAACATGTTTCGGCATGCCTTGACTTAGGGACAGGCAGAAACCTATTTAATGAAATACACCCTTAGTATGGTGTTTTGCAGGTTGGTTCATAAAGATTGGAACTATATATATCCGAAGTGATGAACAACTCGAATTCAAGCAACGCAAAAGGTAAGCTTTATTATTATTATTTTTTTTCAATCACATATCATTTTAATGCAAGGACTACGGTTAAGGAACCAAAATCAAATTGATCATCCTTCCTTCTCTGGATCTTCACCAGCTATAAAATTATATTTGGAGGTGAAAGGACAAACAAAAATAAACTGCCTGTAAAGAACAGTGGCAGGGTTTCCTCAGGTAAGAAGTGAAAAAACAAAGCATCTAAAAGAGAGAGTCATCGCTTCTTCGGTAATCATTTTATGTCGTCCTTCAGTAGCATTTTGAAATGGTCCAATGGTTTCCAGTGGGGCCACAAACTATTTACAAAATTAAAAAAGGAACAAGTCTCCTAGCTTTCGCTGACCCACGGCATCAGCAGGTATAGAAAATATTCTGTAATACAACTACATAAGGAAAAGGTGAGGTGTAATACAGTGGTAGAAAATCCTAATGAACAAAGTAGGTGAAGACAGGTGCGTAGGGAGTGCTGGTATATGTGGGATGTCTGGGAGTAACGTAGATGAAATATTTTGAATGATGGTATAAGAATGGAAAAGATAACTAATTGAAATAAAATAAAGCAGTGGTAAAACGAAAATAGAATTTGAAGGTACGTAAAGTAGTACTTCTCCAATTCTGTTTGCCCTAAATTAGCGTTTGTAAATATTCTATCGATCTCTAATAGGTGCTGACTCAGTGGAGTTGTTTAGCAACACAAGCAGAATTATTACTACAACAGTTTATGCGGTAACGATCATATGTGGACTGGTCGGAAATAGTCTTGGCCTTTACTTAGCGCTAAGAAGGAAGGCTGGAAATCGTGCAACGAATCTGTTTATGGCAAATATGGCGGCAGCAGACCTACTTGTTACTCTGTTTGCTATGCCTTATTCGGTCCATTTCATAAATGTGCGCCAGCAATGGATCGGAGGAGTCATTGGCCAGGTTACATGCAAGTTTGTCCATTTTGCTTATCAAATTTCAATACCCGCTTCCATTTTCACTGTTTTATTGGTCTCCTTTGATCGTTATCTCGCTATCTGTTACCCTATGAAGACAAACTTGTTTCGAAATGGCAAGGTCATGACAACAGTTATATGGATAGCTTCTGCAGCATATGCGATTCCATTTATGATGGCAAATGACATACTCAAATACAACGATACTAACTATTGCCTTCGCATCTTTACCCCATTTGACAATCAGAAGTCGGTACAGATCTACTATTTGGTTACTTTCATTTTACTTTACTGTGTGCCTCTGACAATCCTATTGGTCTTGTACAGTCTCATCACACACAGACTCTGGCAGCGAAAAATTCCAGGTAATGTCAGTGAGGCCAGAATTAGATCAGCTCAGGGGGAAAAGAGAAGGATTGTAAAGGCTTTGATTCTGATTGTGATGGTTTTTGCAGTCTGCTGGTTTCCAGCTCATGCTATGCACTACTTGGTTTATTATCGCAAGGATATCTATCGCAGTATACCACGGGAAGTTGAAATGTTCTTCTTTTGGCTCTGCCATGCTAACAGTATTATTAATCCATGTTTGTATGTGCTGATAAGCCCCAGCTACCGCAAATTTTTACAGGGAAGTTTCGGACGTTTTTGTTCTTGCTGTAGCCATGCTAATTTCAACTCTTTAACAAGGCGTAGCACTGGGATGCTTACTTTCAGTCGATCGTTCGATGCTACCAGCAATACAGTCTTTGGATTTTCCTTCAAAATTAAAGACACAGTGGAGACTCAACTGTAATATTTGCTTATTTTCATGCAAACAAACGTAATCAGATGGATGAAGTTTTGGGCTTCTTCACTGTATTTATTTTACAGAAATGGGTAAATATCTCGCAGAATTCAGTCGCTCTCCAACTAATTTGTTTTGTTTAGCCCACAAGTCATTTGAAAGTAGCCATTGTTCATAACGAGATTCAGAAAAATATTGTTTGATATGGATATTTTCACAGAAGCGGAATTAGATGTTTTATTGTCTCGAAACCAAAATTATATAATCATACAAAAATGACAACTACTTTGGTCGGCTACACACGAACACTCAAATGTTCCATTTAAGGTGATATGAACTAATGGCGTCCTGCCATTAAGAATTTGATTATAGTGGTGTTCCTTATTCATAGTTAAAAGTGTGATTTAAATATAATTTCCTCTCTAAATGTCACATTTAGAAAAAAAATATATTTAAAGCTTACTTTTTAATCATACACCAATGACTTTTAATTCTAATCTAGAATTCGAAATAATTTATAGGAACTGTAGCTTACTAAACTCATCTCTTCTTAGCATTGAGATTTAACGTTGTAAATCGATTGATACTGAATAACTAAAAAAATAAATGTTCGTAGTTGTATTGATATTTTCTCAAAGAGCTTACGTCACCGTCAATAAGACTCTTTCATTTTAACTTAATTCAAATACAACAATACAATTGATTATTGCTTATTGAAATTCCCAACCCTGAGAGCTTTAAAAGTAGAAGAAAACGTTTCAAGGTTTTCCTAATCAACAATGGTATACAGAACAGCTTGCAAGGGGTATAACGTTATTAATAGAAGCAGAAAAATCTTGTTAATTATAGTAAATAATTATATATTTATAATTTACCTGACGATCATTGCATTAAAATCTATAAATAAAGTTTTAATTTTGAAATGCATTAGTCTTCTTTCAGATAGAAAATTTAATAGAGATATTGAATTTAAAAAGCAATGATTTCCCAATTTCAAACGAATATTTGTCTGTTCCACTTTACTTAGGTACCGGTGCTATTGTGACGTAGATGACGTGGTATTTTAGCTCAGCGGTAAATCTTCGATCAGCTTTAATTCCCTGTTTAATTGTCATATTATAAAAGAGTAATACGATCTTCAGTTATGAATAAACCGATGCTGAGTTTATTATCAAATTGTCATTTTTTTCTTGTTTCTCCGCTGTCTTCCATATCATCGACATCTACAATTCTTCCTTTGTAAAACTTTTTTCCACATGCCATACTTCCCTAGTTCACATGTGTAATCGCAGTTTTGAAATCAAAGATGAAAAAAAAACCTAAAAAAAATTCCTTGCTCTTATAAAACAACACTAAATCCTTGTTTCCCTCTTCTCACTGAAGCTCCAAAAATCGCGAATAACTTTTTTATTGTGCAGGAGGAGCTTTCATGTAGCATTTGTCCTTTGAATCCAGAAATCTTTTGGCAACCATCTCCAGGTTCAGGATTCACAATAAATTGGTCATTGTCCACCGCATTTATATAGCGACAGCCAGTTGGAACAAATTTCCCCTTTGGAACATTTTCAATGTAATTTTGCTGATTGAGATAAGGTCTGTATCGCGCCACTACAGCAGTACAGTTGAATTTGTCGACAGGAAAATTTGCCCGTCCAATTCCAAGTTGCTGATTTGTTCGCCATACGATCTTGCCGAATGGCTTTCCTTTCTCGTTTACAGGGATTGGTTTATCAAAATCCCAGTGGCAAACAGTAGAATACCTAGTGGATAAACGATTAGACGATTATATTTCGGTGATCTGCTTCTTTGAGGTGTATAGATGTTTATGGTTTTATGTAAAACGTCGGAGAAAATGAGGGAATTGGTCCATGATTAGCGTGCGTGCATCGAGTGATGGATGTTCGCGGGAAGTTTAGAGAGCACGATAGACGTGTAAGAGTTGCTCAAGGCGCAGCCGAGAGCACCTCTAGCTTCTTGAGTATTTCAATGAAGTATCATCAACTCCAAACTAATTTCGACGCGTGAAAGAGCCACATCCCTTTCGTTTTTTTGAAACTTGTATTATTCAGGAACGGAAAAACAGTATTGAAATTTTGGAAACCTCGCTGCTAAACTCGATTGGACTTAAAGCCGAAGTGAAACTGCGCATGTCATCATATGGATGCACGGCCGTGCGGTACATAAGGATTTTTACCATGGTAACTCCTTAGGAAATTGAAAGTTTTCTCCTTATGCAAACACAACAGCTAAAACGACTCTGTATGGTATCATAAGAAGTAAGAACGCAAATGTTCCTTATAACCTTACTTTACCTTGGTAGGAGATCTGAAAAAAGGGGTGAAAAAGAGCGAAATAGTAACTTGTGTCACTAGCGATGAAAAAAAATTTCTTCTGCGCATAATCACTTAAGTAATTCTTACCATTCTCGGACTGCTTCAAAAGCAGACACTCCTGTACTGAATGCTTTGCAGCGTAAGAAGATGTTTTCTGCCTGCCCCGGTCGGCTTGAAATTGGAGAATGTTTTACGCTTAACCTTTGGGCAATTTGCTGGGCATATCTTGCAGCCTGAAGGCTTAACTCGTGGTCAAGTCGAAGATCTGGAGTTTCATGCACTTTGCGATGAAGATTGTGATACAACAGTCCTTGCACTTCGAACGGAGTAATATCTAGAAGATATAAGGTATTTTATGATGAAAGAAAATCGTCAGAGTTTAAGGGACATCAGGAAAACATTGATTTCTGCAACGGCAATTGCCGTTTTGATAA